TTAGCTATGATCCTGTTTATATTAAATACGACAAAACCCACAGAATCTGTCAGTCGGGAGATTTCAGTTAACTCCTGTCATATTTAGTTTAGCATCTAACACCTTCTTCTAGGCAAATACAGCTCTGGTTCACTGAACCTGATAACTCCTTTTTAGTACACCAAGTGACTTCCATATGGAATAAATTACAGTACCTCCTGAAAAACACCAGAGGCAGCTGCCAAATTATGCAAAATTTAAATCACTAATGAACAATGTGATGAAAGTTGAATGAAGGTGTATTTACAAGATCTACAACACACTGTGTCTGTGGAGCAGATGTACTGTCTGCATAAGTTGATATATAAGTGTATATATACACACACACGTGTATATATATATACACACACACAGAGATATATATGGGATCTTTAAGGTCTTTGTGTTTTAAATACATGTATCTCAGAATAATAATTTATACCTGAGCTCAGTGAGCCAGAAGCTCCTCATGATGTCATTGGCTTGCTTGGATCCACTGTGCGTCAGCCGCAAGATGCCAAAAAAGTAGGCCCCAGGGAATTTTGAGGGGGAGTAGTCAGACAAAGCTTAAAAAGAGAGGGAGAGAGACAGACAGAAGGAGAAAAGTGGTGGCAATGGCAGGAGGAGAAATACTTTGCACATACATAGTGTCTTTCATCCAAAGATCAATTTGCAAATGTTAATTGTGCTTCGCAGTCGAGCGTGAGAAAGGCAGCGCTGCTGTGTGCCTCAGAAATGGGAAGAATGGGATGTAAATATGATCATTTTGCAGGAGCCCAGACAGAGGAACAGAAGAGGCAAGGCCCACATTTTCAAAGGCAGCTTCTAATTCTAGGTGCTTTGTGTTTGGGTGCCCAGCTTGAGGAACACTGGCTCCGATTCACCATAGCTGTGCGCCTTGAGAGTTGTTTGCTCCAGTACAAAGTGGGTATAAAACACTACTGTTCTGATTTGCTAGTGTTTTGCCCTCATTTTCCACGGGTGTAAACGACAATGCAAGATGCAGGGCAGCAACGTATTGGGCTCAATGCATCTAAAGCTGAGCACCCAAAAATTGGAGCAACTCAGAATTAGAGACCACTTTGGAAAATCTGTGCTGATCTGACATATTCTGAATCACAGAGGGCTCAAGTGGGATATCCCTACTTGCTCTGAGTCGTACCAGATTCCACAAGTAGCCTTGCTGATTTTAATGGAACTACTGATAGTGCAAGGTACTGTTCGTTCCCTGGGAGTACGATCATCGCAATCTGGCCTGAAGCATGTCAGGGCTGGTCTACACTAAAAAGTTACAGTGGCTTTGGTACGTCTCTCCAGGGTGTAGTTAAAGACTGATCTAACCCCCGGTGTAGACAGTGCTAGGTGAACAGAAGAATTCTCCTGTCGATCTAGCCAGTGGTGCTGGAACAACTTGTAGTGGGGGTGCTGAAGGCAGAAACCACGTATTTGGGTTGTTGTTACTTCTTCAAGCCAGGGGGTGCGGCAACACCCCCCACGCCTCTAGTTCCAGCCCCTAAGGCCCTAGCTACCCCCTCTTGGGGAGGTGGATTAACTACAGCAGTGGGCGAACCCTTCCTGTGGCTGTAGTGTCTTTGCTGACGCGGAGCTGCTGTATCGGTGTAAGTGTAGACCCACAGTCTCAGTGGCAGAGCTGTTAACAGGACCTAGGAATCTCGACTTCCAGTTCGGTACTTTAACAGCTGAGCAAGGCTCAGAGTTTAGTTACCTGGAAATAAACTAGTTCACTATTCAACAAACAGTGAAGTAATTCCTTTATCTGGTACGAGATGATTGCTTTGCAAATAGGAGATTGTGGAATATCTAGCAATTGAAATCAGATGTAGATTTTAATGGTGGGGGAGCCAGCTGTTGGGATATTAGACAGCATTTCAATTCCCTCTCTGCAAAATGCAGAAGACAATATTTAGCTAAATGTTATTTTGAAAACTGATTTGAGGACAAAGATCCTAAGGGCAGAAGAAAAGTGATCCCTTCTCCACTAATTATGAATCATTTATCCTGAACTTCACAAATTTTAGAATCCGAGTCCCAATTAAGACATTACACTTCATGTGTTAATTAGTTTTTTTTTCTTTAAATCAAGCCATAACTCTTCTTAATTAGGAGGTTATAGCCACTGTAATTTGAACTGGCCTGAGTTTAAAACACTCCTGGAAGTCACACCTGGGAGCTGTACCAGTGATCATTTTAAATTGGTTTAGTTTTGACTTGGGTGATTCTAAGGACCCCAACAGGGCAGTAATTAAAAAGGAGGCAGCTTCCAAATTAAAGTGCCAGGGTGGTGTAAGCAATGATGTCTGGGTTCTAAACTGTACTCCATGGAAGCCAGAAAGAGGCCAGTCTCTACAAGTTTCTCAATAAGGGCTCTAATGGATCATGACATTTTAAGCACAAGTTGAATGCATCTGTTCCCGCAATCTCCTCTCTCTCAGAGAGAGGGGACCAGTTATCCACTTTTCATTGCTGGTTTCAGAGTAGCAGCCGTGTTAGTCTGTATTTGCAAAAAGAAAAGGAGTACTAGTGGTACCTTAGAGACTAACCAATTTATTTGAGCATAAGCTTTCGTGAGCTACAGCTCACTTCATCGGATGCACTGTATTTTCCACTGAATGCATCCGATGAAGTGAGCTGTAGCTCACGAAAACTTATGCTCAAATAAATTGGTTAGTCTCTAAGGTGCCACTAGTACTCCTTTTCTTTTTTCATTGCTGGCAATTCTTGAAGGCTCGTTTTCCTGTAGAATAATCTTAGAACTTTGTTATAATATAATTAAGAGCCTGGTCCTGAACCTCTTAGGCAAACACAACCCCTGTTGCCTTCTGCAGGAATTCTACCTAAGCATAGGCTACAAGGATTGTGCTTAAATTCTTTTCCAGGCTACTGATCCCAAAATGGATGAATATTGGATAATATGGGCCCAGCTTGCACAGTGCACACTTAATGTAGAGCATTGTTGTCTCCACTCACCATTAGTGAGGAGTTACGACTCTGGAAGAGAAAGGAGCGATGGTTCATTTACACCAGCTCAGGGTCTGGCCCTATTTTTATTCCCAAGCTTTACTCAAAGGAAAAATAAAAATGCAGCTCTCAGCCATCACCATTAGCGAGACTGAGAGAGCCTCAGGTGCGCGGCTAGCCATTTCTCTCGAGGTAGAGAGCTGTTTTGCTTGCTGCCGTTGGTGACATTACAATGCTGTCTTGCGCACAGTTCGGCTGATCAGAGAGCCAAATGGAAAGAAGAATTGTGAAAAGCCCCGAGTGATGATTTTTAAATGGAGAGTAGGAAAGGCACTGGACTGGCACTCAGGAGAACAGAGTTCCCTGCTGATCTGCTGGATGACCTTGGTCAAGTCCCTTCCCTTCTCCAGGCCTTCATTTCCCCTCCCACCCTCGGTCTGTCTTGCAGTTAAGGTTGTAAGCTCTTTGGGGCAGAGACTGTCTTTATACTATGGGTCTGTCTTCACTGCAGAGTTCACTCAGGATTGTTCTCTGGTCTTGTCCCTAACCCCCATCCTGTCCACATACAAAGCCCTCTCACCTGAGTTTGGTGGTGCTTCAAACCCAGGCTAGCTGGCCCGGCAGGGTCTGAGAGTTCGAGCCTGAGTTCTGCTTTCACTCTTGCCGGTAACCCACCCGCTTTGCAGTGAGGACGCAGGCTTGAGTGCTGATTGTCCTCTGGTGCCTTCCCACAATTCCTCCCCCTTGTGCTCAGAAGGACTGACAAGTTCTCCCACAACTCATGGGGAAAGAATTATAGAGTGGCTCAGCTTACTGCAGTGCAAAGAACCATGGGTTATGTCCCCAAAAGTCCTGGTGACACACACCGGGGAGCACAGTACCAGTGAGGATACCGTAACTCCGGTATTATGTCTTGGCAAGGCGGCAGCTCTCACCCAGGTGCTCAGATGCAGGTACTGATCACCCGAGTTAATTCTGCAGTGAAGGTAGGTATAGCCCGGGTGTCTGGTCCGTGCCCAGGACAAGGGCCTCTAGCACCTGCTGTAACACAAATAGTCAATAATAGCTTGAGGGTAGGAAAAGCTACTGTATGGGCCCTCTAAGTTGGTGTATCTTGCACAGAGCAGTAAGAAAAGTAACCAACAAGAAGGTATACATCAAAGAAGGCCCACCATACTTCAGCTGCTATGTGCATAAGTTACACATTGGAAAGTGCACATAAGGAACTCTCAGTTGGAGTAAGGGGGAGGGACTCACCCTTGTGTTGTTTTCTCTTAGCTGGCTACGGGAGAATTCCCTGGTGCAGGCACTGTGAAAGGCAGCCACAAACACCCCCTGTGGAGGGCATGTCAAGCTGGGGCTGGGAACAGGAGGGGCATGGTATGGCTGAGGTCATAGCAGATGGCACTATGGTTATTTTGAGCAGCTCCAGGTTATGTGTTGCAGGGCTGCCACAACTTACAGAAATTCCCTCAGTTATGGGGCCACAGCAACCCCCTGTTAGCCCAGACAGCTTTGTGTGCTGGGTCCCGAAGGGGCTCAGTATGCAGTTGCACCCAGGGAGTCCAACCTACACCAGCCTAGGCACATCACCTCTGAGTTTGGCCAGTTCACTTTAATGGAACTACACAGGCCTGCAGGATTGGCCCCTTGTGTGGGCATAACTCCCTGTGGGACAGATTGTGGTGCTTGTATTCACTGTGAGTAGCCTTGTCCTCTGTGAGTGGGTCCCATTGATCTCATTAGGACCACTCCCAGAGCAGGGTATTGCTCAACATGAGTAAGGGCCAGAGACCTGGTCCTTTCTCATGAATGTTTTGGCAGGGAGTCCCGAGCCAGGGAGACGGTCGGATCTCGAGGTGGGATTTGAGTCAGTCACAGACAGGGAGACCGCTCCACTGCTCCTTATGCAGCGCTAACAGAGCAGCAGAGCTTGTCTGGACGATGGTACGGGGTAACCTGGTGTGTCTGTCAAGCTAACAAAGCCTCACTCCTCTTTACAGAACGTCTCTCCTGCGAGCCCGTCCCCGGATGGTTCTCCCAGTGCAAGGCTTTGTGTGCCTCGCGGCCTTTGGCCTGGCTCTTCCCTTGGCCATCAGTCTCTTTCCACAGATGTCGGAGGTCAGTGCATGTCTAGTCTGTATCACACTGTGCAGCGCGAAGCAGAGGAGTGGTACCTCACACCATCAGTAGCTCCTTTGAAGTCACTGCAACGTGGCAGCTTGTTTGCCTCACACAGCTGATGGTGGGCGAGATTTTATCAGGTGATCTCCACCACAGCAGCCAACAGGATCCAAAACCTCACACAGTCTAAGGCTTTTGGGGAAGCCCCCAGCCAGAAGAGTCAGCGGGAAGGTTGGCTGTTTCTAGCCTAGGCGTACAAAGAGAATGTTGACTTGGCAGCTTAGAGCAGGAGTGGCCAACCTGAGCCTGAGAAGGAGCTGGAATTTACCAAGGTACATTGCCAAAGAGCCACAGTAATACGTCAGCTGACCCCCCATCAGCTCCCAGTGCCTCCCACCTGCCGGCAGCCCTGCCAATCAGTGCCTTCGCCTCCCTCCCCACACCTCCCACCAGCCGCAATCAGCTGTTTCACATGTGCAGGAGGCTGGAGGGGGTGGGGGGAAGGAGTGAGGGCATGGCAGGTTCAGGGGAAGGGGCAGGTGCCTTGGGGAAGGGGTGGAGTGGGGGCAGGGCCTGGGGCAGAGCTGGGGGTTGGGCAGTGAGCATCCCCCGGCACATTGGAAAGTTGACACCTGTAGCTCCAGCCCCGGAGTCAACGCCTGTGCAAGGAGCCACCTATTAACCTCTGAAGAGCCACATGCAGCTCTGGAGCCACAGGTTGGCCACCCCTGCTTTAGAGAGAGGGTATGCATGCAGATGTGGGTTTGGTATGTGGAGAACACAATGAATCACAAAAGTCGATGGCTCTGTTGAATGTTTGATTGCTACCAGGCCTTCCTGTTCTTTGAGAGTCAGCTGTTGTCCCCTTGACTTAAATATGGGCTTGATCTTGTGATATATATGGCCTCCGGGGTGCACATCACAGCTTGCTCAGCACATGGCAGTGCTCACATTGTCGGTAACAATGGCTGGATGCATACAGAGAGGCATGTTCATCTTTTATGATCATGTGGGTTTTCCTTTCCTTTAGCTGGCGATTGGATCCTACAACAATACCTGCCTTGGGTGATCAAAAAAAGGGGTTGTGATTTTGTTATATTTATTAAAAGGATTTGATTCCTGAGGTTTGGATTAAATTAAGTGAAGGCTGAAGTTAACCAGTGATGAACTGAGTAGAAAGTCCTATGTTCCATGCCAGAAATATACGGTTTAAATTCAACACACGGCACCATTCCTGTTTGGCCTCCCATAGGAGTTAGTTGATTCACCCACTCCTGTCTTGAGGCTGTGCAGTAATCAGTTTTAACACATATTAATTGCAGGGAAGAGCAGGGACACAAAACATTTAAATGAGGCATTTAAAAAAATGTACCTTGAAAGCATCTTCTCTGCTTGTACTTAAAGGGTAGCAGCTGTAGTCAAAAGAGTAACGCTGTAAAGATGATATTCTGGCCCTCCATAGTTACTCTCTTTCAGTGATTCTAGGTCAAAAGTGCCCCGTTCACAAGTCAAATGATGTTTATGGTTCTACCTGATGGCCCTGACAGCTCACCCTGGGCTCTGAGAGTCAAGCTGGGTTCATTCTCTTTCATTAACATCCATAGTAAAGATCTGCAGTCAGAAGTGCCTCTTTTGTTTCTGGTGCATCAGGAAGAACACAGTCTTGCTCACCCTCCCATGTCTGTGTTGTCTCCGGAGTGTTCAGGTAGTGAGCGTTTGTTTTTGTCTATAAAGCAAGCCTCTATGACAGGAAGACACACAAGGAGCAGATACGTGTTCTTGTGGCTTCTCAGACCATTCCACCTTCTCCATTTCATCTCTAGATTGTATCTTCAGGGCAGGGACTGCCTTTGCTCTGTGTCTTGTGCAGCACAGTGCACACTGTTGGTGCCTAACAACAAGAATATGTTAGGTTGTGTCAGATTTCACTTTTCGGCCAAAAGCCACACTTCAATGCCAGTTTGATGTTCTCTTGCTTACGGGGTCACCAAAATGCCAGTCAAAAAAAGATGGGATACCCAACTGTTTTGTAGCGGAAACCATTCAAGTAAAACCGGAACTGGGGTCCAATCACAACTGCCACTGAAATTACTTGGGCCGAAATTCCTTGGGATAGTCATTAAGGCTTAAATTTTCAAAATTGTCCACTAATTTTGGGTGACTCATTGTTTGGGTCTCCATCTTAAGGCACCTAAGGCCTGATTTCCAGAGGCAATGAGCACCCAGTCAAGCCAGAGGTATCTAAAGTTTGTTATCCAAAAGTTGAAGCATCCAAAATTATATGCCCTCTGTGAAGATTTGGGCCTTAAAAAAAGAAAAAAAAAGTCAGTGCCTTAGTTTCCCTATCTGAAAAATGAGTCTAACAATGCTTACGGACATCTGTAAGGCTCTTTGGGTGAAAAGTGCTATTACTGATATTTTGGTCTGACAGGGTATATTAATGTTAATGGCCATATCAGTCCCCGCTCTGTTTAAATTACAGAGAAACATTAATGTCTATCTTGCATCAAAGATTATTACAATTGCAAACAATGGGGACTTTTAAAATGGTACAAAGATTAATTGAAAGTGACCTTCTAAAAGCAAAAACAGTGTTATCTACAGTGTAAACATGAATCAGAGCTGATTAGCCGCTAAAACAGACTGATGTGCTCTCTGCCCACGCATCGTGTCAGTGAAGGGAAGCCATTACAGCCAGTGGGGTATTGCTCATTATCCACTGGGTTCTCAGCTCTGGTCCCTCAGCTTCAAGAGAATTAAGGTCTTGCTGTGGGAACTTGAGGTATCAAGCATTTTTATATTCAGTCTTAGACTCCCAGTCTTTTAAAAAGTGTTTCCATTTACTGAAGGGTGTGTGTAATCTCCAATCCTGGTGAATCTGATTCCAATCTGTTTAATGGCTGATGAGCTTTGGAGACCTTCAGAACCTAGGAAGTGAGTGGAGTAGGTCTGTTCTCTAAAACCGTAATCGCTTCAGAGCCAGTTCTTCACAGACTTGGCTAGTTCTCCTGTCACAGCCCATCAGTCCTGAGTCTCAATTCAGGATCTGAGTGTGTGATGTGTTTGGCTTATGTGTGTTCACTAGTGGCCCACAAAATCTGCCAGACCTGCTTCCTCTTCCAGCTATGCTTCCTGTGTGTCTGGATATGAACTCTTTGCCCAGTGCCACAAGTATTTGTTTTGTTTGTGGAAGTAGTAGGTGTAAAGCAGCTATAGATTGGACATTAGAGGCAGTCTGCTTGTAACAAGCCATGGAGCAAATGATTGGCAACAGGAGTATAACCAGGGTATTCAGCTCCAAAGACACCATGGTCCAAAGAGGGACCATTTAAAATAACAGTAAATGAGCCAAATTTGACTCTGTTATGCACGTACTACCCTATTGACGTCAGTGAGTAAATGAGCCTAGCAGCTGATTCACTATTAAGCTCTCTCTTAGTTTAGGAGCTTCAACAGCTTTCTGTCCTTAATTTAGTTTAGTGGGCTGAAGGGAGAAGCCTTGTTCGTTTAATGCATTTATTTTGATTGTACGGAGCTCCCATTGTTGACTCTGAGCACTTTACAAAGCGTTCAAGAAACAGTATTGCACAGAGTTAAAGCCCTGGAACAGATTTAAAGGGGTGCCCCAGAAACCTATGCAAAAGCCAGAGATCTTAATAGCAATTCCTATCACCAAACCTCTGCTTCCCCATCCTGTCTAACTGCTTGCTCCCCATAAGCCTCAGAAAAATGGTGAGTTTTGCCACGTTCTGAAGATTAATGAAGCAGGCCATTTGGCTGGGTTTTTTTAAGCCGTAAGATTTGATTCTGCTTTTGTTTACACCAACGTAGGTCAGAAGTAGCTGCCTCAGAGTCAGTGGAGTTACACCAGTTCAAAGCCAGTGTAAGTGAAATCAGAATCTGGCCTTAAAACTGTCCACGTAGACATTAGAATAGTAACCCTTGAGTTGATCAACCAAGCTTTGGGAAAGTCAGTGCATTGAAACTGTCTTGGACCCATATCTCGTCAAGAGCAGAGCCCCAGGTGTTTTCTGATTCACTTCATACTGCAGACCTATGCTTCAGAAGCTCAATTTTCTTTTCTTCTGTTTCTAGCCCTTATGGTTGAGAAGATAACTCTGAAAACAGAAACCAAGTGTACACCAATGCAGTGATGTCTCCCTGGGTCTGCAGCAAGCCTAAAATATTATGGGAATATGGTGGGAATTATCCCATTAATCTCAAGAGGGTGTTGACTCTGAAACCTAATTGCAGCACTAAGTATTGCGCTGCAGATCGCTTTAGCAGAAATAGCCAGCTAATATTCTTAGCTCACAGTCTCAAACTGCTTCCCATGCCTCTCGCAGCACCTCCTGCCCAGCTGCTGTAACCTACAGCATACTCACTGACTGTCCCTCCAGTGCAGTTATGCATTGCCTGTTCAAACATCTGCAACATGTCCAACGCTGAAAATGGGAATTGCATAAAATCAATTGAATTCAGCATCCCAATAAATAAGCCAGGGGCTGCCCTACTGAGTTCATTGTTCATGTACATATTTAATTAACTCAAACCCTTTATTTTCTATTTGGAAATTGTGCAGCAGTTTCTTTTAGACTGCTTCACCTGCAGAGTCCAGGGATCTCGCAGCAGAACCCAGGTCCAGCATGCTGTGTAGTGCACGGGGCTCTGGTTACAAGGGCTGAAGCATCTGGAAGAGGAGTCAGTGACAGAGAGACCCAGGCCCCATCACAGGCTCAGTTTAAAGACTTCTAGTAGCTGACTAGATGTAGGACAAACCATCACCAAGAATGAGGCTGATTGCAATTGAAATTCTTTTCTTAAAAATAATCTTCCCTTCAGATCTCCAGGGCAAGAGGAAAAACATCTAAAATACAAGACTGAGCTATTGTTTTCCAATCTGTTTCAGCCTTCATCTTGTTGGCAGGCTACATTAGAAAAGCAAAAGGTTAATGAGCCAATGTGCAGTGGGATTATTGCAGTAAAGATGACAGTGA